CCTTGCCAGCCTGCACATATGGTAACTGCAGTGACCTTTCAGCTACTACACTTTTGCACTATGTTTAAGAGCTACTCAGGAAGCCAATATTGTATATTATGTAACACAAGATTAAGCATTAATGAGGCAAGAATAAAATTGTTTATCTAAACCCCAATCTAAAATTAAACAGAAGTTTATGCTGAAAGCTCACACTGCACTCGTTTTGCCTCCAAACATTAACAGAGCACAGCTTATTTAGTCTCTGAGGTAAGTCCCAACAGCATTTAATTTGCAGAGAAGGATTTTACTATCAGAAGAGAGAATATTTTCCTAAAGAAGAAAGCGATGCATGTTTAGTTCTTACACGCATAAATACAGCACTTTGCAGGTATTCTGATCTAAGGAAAACAGTTGATATTCATGACCTCTATTTACACTGTGCTTTAAAGCTAAATACAGAAGCACCCACCCAGAGGCAAGACCTTTCGATTGCAGTCTGCCATCTCTTGCTAAGCAGCCAAACCAAAAATCACGCACACCAGAGATACCTATGTGCTCAACAGGGAAATTCAAACCAAAATTAGACCAAAGTCTGCATGCCTCCACAAAGATCCGCTGTCGTCTTTTTAGGCTTCTCGCTAAGCAAGCGGCTCTACAGGGTTCACTAAGGACCTTCAGCCTGCCAGAAAACAGACAGTTAGACCGTGGTCAATGACTGTACCATGAACCTTTCCTGAAGAAGGCAGGAGGAGTCTTTGAGAACCTCCAAACATTCAGATAGGCATCGTTCCCAGTGTTAAGATTAGGTAGAAGAGGTCCGAAGTACTTGGGCCTATTCCCATGAAAGACACGGTGTTTCCAAAGCCTCAACTCAATCGCAGCATAGGCCACGGCTATCTAATGATATAACATGACACTATTCCTAAACCTGTGCTGGGCTGCCAAAGGGACAATCACATCCATCCCCCTCCGTTTCTGGTGGCTCGCTAACCGGCATAAGATGTTTGAGTTCTGCTGGTCAGACAACGGATCTGACACAAAGCAGGCTGCAGGAACTCCAGCCAGAGGAAACCAAATCCTCTCGGGACCGTGGCTTTAAATAGTTCAGGCAAACTGCAACTGCACCCGAACCGAAGCTTACGGGGTGTTTCCGAGGGACCGGGGCGAGGGGAGGCTCAGCGGAACAGGACCCAGCTCTGAAGCTGAGCAAGCTGACGCCATGACCTGGGTCCTCCTGGGCATCACTGCCCTGCTCCAGCTCGCGTTCATTCCCTGTTCCTATTTACCGTTTGCGTATCGCTAGCACAGAGTTAAGCTCTTTACAAGAACACAGTAAGCCAATCCCCGACCTTGTGGGCATTCAAGTACATTTATCTAAGGCCTATCGCAATGCTGGTGCTTCTAAAACTCTCTAATTCAAGTAGCTCAGTGTAATCACCTAAAGAATTCAGAGCAGGAGAATTTTAAACACTTTGAAAATCCCGCAGTATCACAAAGTTTTAGCAAATTAACCCAAACCAGGGGAAAAAACCAACAAAAACCCCCCACATTTAAAGCCAAGTCAGACACTTAAGAACACTTGTTGCCAGCTGTGTACCTTGTGTTCTCACAGCTTATGAATTTAAATGAAAGTTATTAATGAAAACTGTTCACGTCACACAGCTGCCTCCAAAATTTATTTCTCAGCTTACAATGCAGAAGAACCAAAAGTGCTGCTAAGCATGAACCAAAGGAGAGCAGGATACTCCACCAACTACAGCTACAACTGGCTAAGGGGAAAGGAAGAAAGATCCATGGGAACAGAAGATCCGTTCAAGACAGAGTTCAAGGGAAACCCAAGGAAGTTTCAGAAGTTTTATTTAAGCTCATCTACATGGAGACACTTTTTCTCCAGAGTATCACAAGGTTAACACTTACTGATCCAGCCTCAAAACTACTGGCTTTCCTTGATCCGTTTCAGTGTCTCCTGCTTATAAAAACTTGGAAGAGAATGCTTCAGCTATTTACGCTCATGCCCACTGGGAACTCCTCTCGGACATAAACTTTGAAATAAACTGGAAATTTGAAATAAACTGGAAGAGTGAAGACCTAAACAAACACACAGCTTTGATATTCCGTAAATATTTTCTTTCATACAGACTTGTTTCCTTGCTAGTTATTTATTTAGAAGAAACAATTAAAAAAAATGTTGAAAAATTATGTTAAACTAGTTAAAGCACACATTAACAAATACAGGGTTTTCTTAGAAGATATGGCACATTAACTGTGGAGAGAAAAAAATAGCAAAGGGACAACTCAAATAGGACATTCCTCAACGTGCTTGAGAAAACTTAGTACAGTATGGCCTAATTCTCATCTCTCACCATGGCCACTTTACACCTTCCAATATTATAAAAGAAATACAATGTCATATTCACCTCTATCTTCTGACTTCCTGTGCAGCAGCCTCAGCTTGACTCAACATAAAATAGGCCTCGTCTCTACAACAGTTTTGTATTTCTGTTGTATTACTGATCTTCCCCTATTGCAACCGCAGGGCTTAAGGCGATATTAGGAAGAGCCCTCCCCCAGCAAAAGCAGCATAAATATAAGTGTCTAGAAAAGCCGTGCATTATACAAGAAGCATAATAATAAGGAGATTTAACTTTAAATGGGTTTTGCAGAGAGGCAAAAACCCTGGCTCCCCTCCCCACAGGCTTCAGTAACTAGTAAGGTAAACTCTAATGAATTAGAAACACGCAGGATGTAGTGACCTATAGTCTGGTTTTCATTTAGGGCAAGTCACTTCAAGAATGTCCCTGACTCATTCACAAGTAGCTTTTGGAGTGCTTTTGCGTCCATATAATAATTTTTAGAGTTTCACCTCACGTTAACATGGTGGCTAAACAGCAAAATAAGGCCTTTTTTCTAGCGTTTCTGGAATTGCTAGAGGGTTACTTCGCACTGCAACAGAAAAATGGCAGGCAAAGTATCTGAAATTATTCTGCTGATGAAAGAATACAGACGAATTAATTCTAAAACCTTGTAATTTACATTATTCATTATTCCACTTTAAGGAGGAAAAGCAAAACTGGATAGTCAAATATTATTTACTGCAGCCTTTATTCTGCATGCTTTACTAAAGCAAAACTGCTGTAAATTTTGTCTGAAAAAGATTGGGAATTAAAAGAAAGCAGAAGTGAGACCTGTGGGCAAAAATAGGAAACAGAGATTAAACAATCCGTTGCAGGTCAAAGGTTATTTGTAGATCAGTTACCACTAGGGGCTAAAAAAGGCTGCTCAAAGCCATCAACGCACTGCCTCCCAGTTGCTCAAACTTAATAGTTAGTCTTTGCTACGCTAAAAATTTAGACCTAATGAAACAAAAACGTAGTGCTTGGAAAAATGATAGCTTATATAAAGTTCCGCGCTACTTGCAAACTTGCAAAACTTTTACAAAAAGCCTTGGGCCTGACATCCAAGTTCAAATGTAGAAGTCAAGCAGTACAATCAGGGTCAGACACCTGCCCCCTGCACTCAGTTCTTTAGTTTTTCTTCTCCTTTCCCCTGCAAACTGTTTTTCTCTATCACAAAGGGACGTTTTGTATTTAAATCATATTTCATAGTTGCTGTAATTCAAACTTTAGAAGAGTACTTTTGCCTCTCAGTAACCGTACCGTCAGCAGAATTCATTCCTAAAGTAAACACCAATTTGTTATAAATACATTGCTAACAGATATTCCAAAGAAAAGAGGAAAGGAGTGCTTGAGCCGAGTACGTGCTGGATTTGTTAGATGTTGCTAAGAAGCATACTATTTCAGCATTCCTTCTCAGCTGTCATCTTTCTAACACCGGGCCTTCATGCCTCAAAATCCAACAGAATACTAAAGCAAAGTCTACCTACGCTTGATCGGTAATTAAGTTTTCCCATCATTCTCAACAGAATCAGCGAACATATACACCAACTGAGGCGCTCCAGGAATCATTTCATCCTCCCCTTTCTATTTGACTTACGCGGCGTTACTAACTATTTAACCAATGAAAGGTTGTGATACCACGGCATCGTCTCTCAAGAACATCTCAGAAGAGAACAGAAACGGCCTACAGTAACTGATGGGTTTTAAAATATTTTTACAGTAATGTTCTTCCCCACTGAACAACCACATTCCACACACACACAAGTCTAAACAACCAGTTATGCTTTAAATAAACATTCTCCAGATCGCTAACACATTACTAGAAAATAGCCCAACTCAATTTTCATCGAGGTTATCTCCCTTCTAAATTCAGAACAAATATGAAAACTGCTTTCCAAAACCACCCTCCCAGCAGTTAAATGACACCTGCAGAACAGAAACCGAAGCTTCTAGAGAAGCCTGGCAATTAGGACTAATGGAAAAGTAACTAGATTCCCAAGGCTTCCCAAACCCTCCTTCCTTTGAAGGAGTCAACCACTCCTCCCTGTCCATCTTCCCTCTAAGCACTTGCCAGGATTTTCCGTAGAATGACAGTTATGTAAGCTTTATGAAGTTCAGTAGAGTAATGAGCCACAGAACAATTCAGAAACTGAAGTTCCACGCTTGCTGTCTACACGGTTCAGGAACATGAAGAGTTAAATACAACAACTGAATTCTGCAGGTCGTAGGAGCAGCCAGCACATACCTCAGCCTTCCAGATTCAATTAGATTTTGTTTTGGTTTAGGCTTTCTTTAATTAGCCACTGCCATTTGAGCCCAACTGGGTGACATAAATGTATTATCCCATCATAATGTCAGAATTTAAAATTAGATTTGGTCTCCGTAAATACACTTCATCCAACCTTAGTGACTCCGTCCAGCAGTGACGACTATTTTATGTAACATCTTTCATACACTAAGACCTAAAAACTGCACTAAAAATTACAGCTACCTTTTCCGGCTGTGGATTTCTCTTCCATTTATCTGAAGAGAATTCAGGGCGAAAAGGAAATAGTTTCTCTAAGATCAAACACTGAAGCAGCAAGCGAAAAAGCAAATTACATAAAGTCTAAATGTACTCACAGTCTCCTTGTTCGGCAGCAACTCCTTTCGGATCCTGAAGAAGTTCTTGCCGTACTGCCTCAACCCCTTAATAAAACGTTTCTGTGATAAAAGATAACAAAAATAGTATGTCAGCACAAGAAGAAAAAAGGAAGGAGAAAAAAAAAAAAGATCTTGTTAATCAGCACAACAGCCAAACAATGTTCTTAGCTTAAGGACTGTCGGTAGAAGAAAACATATACCTACACAGCAACCGAAAACGGACGGGGGAAAAAGGCTTTGAAAAGGTACCGGAAAATTCAAACCACATTCCCTTCTATGTCAAACTTCCAACATTCGAAGCTTAAAAAAAGTCAGTACCACAGTCAGTTCTTTTCCAAAACGACCGAAGTATTCTGCCGCACGTCTCTCTTGAAGTCTATTTTTCAAGTAAGAAGCAGCAGGCGAAGGGAAATACGCAACGCTGATTTTCAGGGAGGAAAAGTGACTCTTCAGAGAAGGTGCTGCAGGGGTTAAAGAGTCCTTGCAGACGCCAGCCCTCCGGATTCACCCTTCCCGATTTTCGGAGAATACCAGCAAACGGCTTCCCGAGCGAACCCTCCGCCAGACGACACCGGAG